TTTTTTTTTTTTTTTTTTTTTTTTTTTTTTTTGAATTGTCTAAACACAAAATGTTAGAAATACTGAATTCTATTCATAAGAACTTGTACGGTGAACTTCTATACATTTAGTTGGACATAAGTGGTATGAGTAGATTTGTGCTGAGCATGTTTCTTTTGTAGGCATTTCCAATCTTCAGAAAAATCTCAGATGAACGTTTAACCCCGCCCCCCCCCCCTCCTTCTTTTTGACTCCAAAGTAGAATGAACTTGTTTTCAACACAGCATATTTCTAAGGATTTTCAGCTGACTGCAAGCATAGAAGGGCTGAGATAGGTCAGGTTGTATCTTTTGTGCCTGCATAAGCAGGGGCTTCTGCAGTTTTCTGCACTCTTTTAATATTAAGGTATATAACAAAAAGGAAGGATTTGCTGCAAAAGGTATCATAGTGATTTGTTGGGTAGTGCTTGTCTTCAGCATTACTTTGCTCTGTATACTGCTCCACATGAAGCATATGTACTCCAAGATGTTTATGAAAATGTTTCAATGGGGTGAGGAAAGAAAGCAAACTGACAATTACAGTGCTTCACAGAAATATGACTAGACGGAGCATAGTTTAAGAAACTGGGAACTTTTCTGTTTTTATGGGACAATTGGATATGGTTGTGCCAAGCAGCAAGTTAAAGATTGAATCTCCCTGACGTTTGCACAAGGAGGTGTATGAGATCACCCACCTTCTGGCACTTCACCACTTACGCAGGATCTCTGCATCATGGTGAGTGGTGCTGTTCTGTACTGTTTGATGTTTCCCATGTAATGCACTCTGTTACAGTCTTAACAGAGTTTGGTTTTGGGTGTGTTTTAATTGGGTGGCAGAGCAATCATGAGGCTGTGTTATTAGAAACTGAGATGCAATAAAGAGTCTAATCTGCTGTTGCACAATAGTTATAGTTCATACAGTCCCCATTATAAGTAAGAAATGTCCAATTTCAACTTGAGCAATCAGTTATAAAAGTGGAACGCTACGGTGCTGTTCTATAGGAGTAAAGAACAAAAGGGATTGAAAAAAGTTGTTAATGGGAATGTGATCACCAAGCACAAATACAGGTTGGGTGGAGAATGGCTTGAGAGCAGCTCTGGGGGGAAAGACTTTGGGATCAGTTGATGAAAGATTCAATGTGAGCTGGCAAATGGTGCTTGCAGTCTAGAAGGCCAACAGCTTATTGGATTGCTTCAAGAGAAGCATGACTAGCAGGTTGAGG